CAGTGAGGTTGGCTAACGCTACTGTGAGGTCAACTGGCGATACAGTGAGGTTGGCTGAAGCCACTGTGGGGTCAATTGGCCATACAGCGAGGTCGGCCGGAGATACAGTGAGGTTGGCTGAAGCCACTGTGGGGTCAGCTGATGATACAGTGAGGTCGGCCTGAGATACAGTGAGGTTGGCTGGGCCTGCTACTGATTGTCTCAGCTACAGCGAGGTCGGCTGGGTCACAGTGAGGATGAAGGGACTGCAGTGGGGTCGGCTGGGCCTTATCCTGGCCATGCGGCGTTAGGTAGAGTCTGCTGAAAAGGAGCTGCCTTGCTCTCCGATGTTTTAAGTGTGAGGCAGCACGGGACAACTGCTACCAGAAATCGTGTCGACCCGGACTAACTCTCAAAGCACAGCACGTGATCGGTGCGGAGCTGTGGTCCCAGCCGGTGATGCGTGTCTGTGAGCGAGATGGCCGACGCATCAGTCATGCCCGGTGGCCTGTGTTGCGAACATGATTGGGCTCAACCACGGGTATAACAAACTTCTCACCCAGGTTAGTCCAGCGACGGTCTGTTCTCTGGCTTTTCTTCGAAATAAATCCTGACAGTTGATGACCTGAAGCCCTACATTGATGACCTTTCTATCCTTAAAAAAATGATGCTGAAAAATGCGAAACTTGTTCTGCAAACTCTGATATCACCGCCTACTCAGAAGAAAGCTGTGGTCTAGCCATTTTATTTCCGACACGGATACTATTAGTTTTGAAGTTTATGTCACGCATGCGCCCAGTCCAGAGCACGGTCACATGGCAGTCTTATCGTTTTCTGTGTGGATGAAATGGTCATTTCTAGTCATTACAGTTTCTCCCTCAAATCTGTGTTCATTGTGGCGCACTGGGCAGGAGCAGCACATGTGTTTTTAAAGCCTCGGGGTGAACTTTCCCGTTCACCAGGGATTTTTCTCTGCAGACATTCGGCACACCTACGTAATTTTCGCGGCACGTCTGGAAATTTTCGAACTGTAATGAGTCCTCTGAACTCCAACTACTTGCTAAATGAAAGATCAAGTGTTTATAAACTTAAAGTCGGAGACCGCATAAAAGCTGGAGTGCAGGAGATGTTCATCTTGTTTCCTGCCGCACGATCCCATGCGGGCACTTAGGTCTTTGCACCCCTGCAATGGAGAACAATGACGTGATACTGTGTTACTATTTTGCGAAACATGCCATCTGACCACAGTCAGACAGTCCAGATACGAAACTGTTATCGAAGATATACCTCTTAAGATTGTCAGGAGAATATATGTCTAAAAATGGTCACTTGAACTGTTTCGGGGGTGATTTTTTTTGCTCTTGAGTTTGTATTTCTGGTTTGGATGTGTAAACCGCATATTTGATGCTACATGCAAGCGATCCCCATCATTTACACACAATGCCGCGGGTGTATTGTCGCTGAGATGATCACCTAACTTTCCGATCTCGCTTGGGTATCGCCGGTTGCGCGGTATTTCCAAAGCTCGATGCTTATTTAGCCGGAAGGATTGTCTCAGTGACAACATACATCGCTCGACTAATTTTTGCCGGCTTTGTGTTGCAGGGCTCTGCCGACTCGAACTATTCACATCCCTCGTCCGATCTCTCACTGGACGAGGACAGAGAGACCGTGCGGCGAGAGACAGAGCGGCAGGCACTGGCGCAGCTGGAGAAGGCACGGGTAAGTGTCGGCAACTGGCGCAGCTGGGGAAGGCACGGGTAATTGTCGGCCACTGGCGCAGCTGGGGAAGGCACGGGTAAGTGTCGGATACTGGCGCAGCTGGAGAAGGCACGGGCAAGTGTCGGCCACTGGCGCAGCTGGGTACGGCACGGGCCAAGTGTCGGCCACTGGCGCAGCTGGGTAAGGCACGGGTAAGTGTCGGATACTGGCGCAGCTGGGGAAGGCATGGGTACGTGTCGGATACTGGCGCAGCTGGAGAAGGCCCGGATATAAGTGTCGGATAGTGGCGCAGTTGGAGAAGGCACGGGCAAGTGTCGGCCACTGGCGCAGCTGGGGAAGGCACGGGTAAGTGTCGGATACTGGCGCAGCTGGGAAGGCACGGGTAAGTGTCGGATACTGGCGCAGTTGGAGAAGGCACGGTAAGTGTCGGCCACTGGCACAGCTGAGAAGGCACGGGGTAAGTGTCGGCCACTGGCGCAGCTGGGGAACGGCACGGGTAAGTGTCGGATACTGGCGCAGCTGGGACGGCATGGGTAATGTCGGACACTGGCGCAGCTGGAGAAGGCAGGGGTAAGTGTCGGACACTGGCGCAGTTGGGAAGGCACGGGTAAGTGTCGGACTCTGGCGCAGTTGGGAAGGCATGGGTAAGTGTCGGACACTGGCGCAGCTGGGGAAGGCACGAGTAAGTGTCGAGCACTGGCGCAGTTGGGAGAGCCATTTAAATGTCCGCCGGAAGTCGTTTACTGGCATCTACCTAGATTGCTCCTTCTGTACTGACCAGATCAATGTTACGAGATACAAGTCTTGCTCTTTCTATATCTATGATTCTTGCCTTGTCAATGTCTCTTCAAAAGACATAAAAGGATTGCGTTCAATTGTTTGGCATAACATGATAGTGGTATAATTAATAGTGATATTCTTTCCATGTAACTCTATTGAGATATGAAATTTTTAAGCCAGCATAAAATGTGGCTATGAGATGAACTCTGACCCTGAACCCGATGTAATCTGGAACTGCATATTGGCGTGAGGCCAGCATCAAGAGGAGCGCAAGTTCCACTTCAAAGTTGTGAACTGGCGGCTGTTATCATTATTGCACATAATGTCAAAAACTAATATGATAGAGCGAGGCGCTTCTGCCAACCGATGCCGACAGCTATCAATGTGTTGGCATGAAGCCGTTATGGAAATTGAATAGGACGGCTACGACTGTAGCAATCACACGCCAACGCGCACCTAGCAGTGCTTGAAAACTGGATATGGTTCGCATAACGCTTGGTAATTTTAAACGACGATTTCAATGATTTTGCAGTTTTTTATGGTGTCGGCAGCTGTGATCAAAGTGTTGCGAAAGCACGAGTATTCTGGTGGACATTGGCGACAAAAAGCAAGGCTGTGCGTATGCGTAGAACCAACCTCTCTCTGTCAAGGCCAAAGCGCCCCGTATTCGGGGCGGGTTTTGGAGAGAATGGCATTAGCTGTTTTCCGGTCGGTTGCTGGTACAGCTATTGGTCGGTCGATCATAAGACTCACAACTGATACATTTGCCTGTTCCTTTTTCCTAATTTATATAATGATATACGATAACGAACGGAACCAACAATTCTTTAGAATGGATAGAATCCTTAGTTAACAACGCAAATTAATCTTGATTTTGGTATTCGCCTGCGCTGGCTGCTAAGGTTAGTCATGAATTCCTCCAAAGCCATAAAACCGGGCGAATCCAGGGTTTGCGCAAATAGAGCCGCACTTTTGCTGGTTAGACTGTCCATTTTTTCCTTCATAGCATCAGTCTCACACAGGCGTGTGTCATATTACGCTAAGCCAGCTGTGGAATCGGCTTCGTCCCGTGGTGTGCAGCTCTTTTGTGGTTTGAAAGTTCTGTTTTTTCTCCAAGTTAATCAAATGTGATGGGAACGTAAACCAGTGAGGATGTTATAAGGTTGCAGGAAAAGCCCACAAAATCAAACGGTCTGCATGCAAATGCCTAGCAACTTATGTCGCACAGTTTTGGAGAATGACGCTTCTTGTTGCTGAGTCCTGCGTCAAGCTGCAATCAATGGTTATAGTTATACTCGTTTATAAGTTCGGGTTGAGTCTCTGAGTTTCCATTAGTTTCTAAATTTACCAGTTCCCAGAAAGTGCAACGACCAGGTCGGTACGGGACGCTCAAGTTGGAAATTATGTTGTAATAATAAAGTTGTATCATTGCATATCATAGCATCATAGTCCAATAAAGTAAGACTGCTTCGCCCTGCGGTCTTGTTAATAACTGCATTGAAATGTACGTTTATATGGTTTTGAGTCGTATGAGACCAACGCGGGCCCAAGTCTGTGACGTGGAAGCATTTGCACGAAAAGCGTGACAAATTGCCTCCCCTGTGGCGTCCGACACCTGACCGCGGTCTGCCGTCGCCAGACGAAGCCGGTGGCGTTCGCCGTGAGAACAAACATCGCTTACGATGGCAGCCTGGACGACGACTCTCCCGTGCACGGCTCGGCTATCTCGTTCGACATCAAGGACTTCCTACACATCAAGGTACGCCTCTGGCATGCCGTGCTGAGCCGATGCGACAAAAAGTGCAGGCTATGGCGGGTGTTACCACCAGCCACATAGCTGCTGTGTACGTACCAATGAATAGGTTGGGGTGCGAGATGTCAATTGGCAGTCGACAGCGATGCCCCAGGACATGTGGTCGTTGACTGCCACGCCACGCATGTTACCGTCTGCCGACACATGGCTTCAGTGAACATCCGCCGTAGACGGAGAGACTCGCTCGCACGAGGACGCCCTGTGGGGTGGGGTGTGGGCCCTGGGCGTATCCCGCTTCCCGGATATTGCAGTTGAGTGAACGATGTTGTTTCAAATCAGCAATCACCTGAAACATCACGTACAGAAGTTGGCTGCGTGCTAACGACTGCAGCGGGTCAAAAGGCAATGAAATGAGGCAGGTAACTGGTAGCAATTGCAAGACACTCGCGCAATCTGCAATGGCATTTTACGGTACATTTGCCGCTATCCAGCTCTTAGAAAAGCTTATCTCGCGAATCGGTATTTGCCGGAGCGTGATTTGTAAATGTAAACGTAAACAGCCCCTAGAAACAGCCGCCTTTTTGCTACCGGCCTCTCGCGGAAGTTCTGCCCTTGGTAACTTATACTGCCTCTCCGCCCTTTCCTAGTGGCACAACCGATGGACCATCAGGCCAGAGAAGCTGAGCATCAGAACGGCATTCTGACCAATACCCTCCAATCCCCTCGCCCTTCAGAAGGACTACGACGAAAGCCGACACAGATCGTACGGGTGTTACGGGAGTATGTCCATGCCACGCGCTGACCGCTGCCCCTCCCTCTCCGGAGAAGACCGGTAACAACGCCTCGCTGGATCGGGCAGACGGAGACGGAGTGGGCCTAACTGGTGCTAGACGTTGTGGTCAGTGTGACCGCCGCCTCTCCGTCCCGCCAGGAGAAGTACGACAACAACTGGTGGATCGGCCGGCTAGTCAAGGAAGGCGCCGAGGTGGGCTTCATCCCTTCGCCGGCCAAGCTGGAGACGCTGCGACTGCAGCAGGCGGGCAGCACCCGCAGCCAGGCGCGGCCTCCGCCGGCCGGCGCCGGCAACGACATGCTCTCCACCAGTGAGCTGACGCTGACCCCGCCGACCTGGCGCGTCCGGCCCCGCCGGCCACTCACACGAACCTCACGTGCAGCTCAGGAACGGGCTGATGCAAGAGTTCGTCACTCGATACTGGCTCAGCCGACATCCGGCCTGAAAAGCGGTGAACGATTGAAGGCGACTTGTGAACGACAGATCGCATAGGAATAAGGGTGCTGTACCCTCTAAGCATGGGGATAAGGGTGCTGTACTCGTTAGGTATAGAGATAAGGATGATGTACTTGTTAAGCAAATGAGGTATATGGTTGGATTAACGAGGTGAGGTACATGTTTGAATGAACGAGGTGAGGTGTATGGATACATGAGCCGGGTGACAGCACGCTCCATACTGATCAGTCACTTGGTGCTGGCCAACTCTTCCCGTTTTTCTGTCACATAAGGTAATCACTCACGTTGACGCCAAACGGATTTGTAACAGAGCCACGAGCAAACCTCGAACCAGTGGGTCACAATCTGGTCGCAATCTGGTCACAATCTGGCCACAATCTGCACCACGCTGTTCGCCAGCACACTTGTCGTTCGTGTCTTGCATTGTTTTATGTTTGCATTTATCAACTGTAAGGCGGATTATTCTCCTAGTTTCTTTGTTTAGAACACGCAATTAAGAGACGAGGGTAGCAGCGTGACTTTTTCACTGGTAACCCATCAACGAAAGCTGTATGTCTACATGATGCCTGATTTCAGGCTTAGATGCTGATCAGAACGGTACGGAGGCCAATGCGGGGGAAGACTCAGACTCAGTGGGTAAAGGGAAGCCTTCGTTGACCACTCCTCTCGCCAGAGAAAAACGGAAGCCGTTCTTCAAGAAACAGGTAAATGTCCTCTGATGAAAGGGTGAGAGCTTTTGTATTTCCTTCTGTGGTAAATGCAGAATTTTACAAACTATGTGCCACCATCCACATTTCCTCTGTCGATCGCCATAAGGCAGAAGCCGGTTACCCATTTATCACATCTTGTCTGATTAAAAGTTGATTGCTATGAACCGCTGTATTTGTGCAGATATGTGCTGAGTGCTGAACGTTTCTACCAAAGTCATTCGCCTCATGACCCAAGTTACGTCTGTTCGCAGGAGAACCTGGCCCCATACGATGTTGTGCCTTCAATGCGGCCCCTTGTGTTAGTGGGGCCCAGTCTTAAGGGTTACGAGGTCACTGACATGATGCAGAAGGCTGTCTTTGACTTCCTCAAAAACAAATTTGAAGGGAGGTGAGTCCAGCTGATAAGGCATTTGTCTCTTCGTACTTTGCATGCTGTTTGTGAGCAAACACATCGAAATAGATCGCGATGTGGGATCAAGTCATTCGGCGAATACTTTGGTGAACCTAATTACAGGCAATCTTGTTGTTTGAATATCACCGGTTTCAGCATATTCATATGACATCCATGTATGGTGGAACGTGACGTCTAACGTACGCCTGACGCTAACGCCTAACGTACGCGATTAGTATGTGCGTATCTGCTGTCACGAGTTCACAGTACACGGCCCTATTTCAGAATAATCATCACTCGCGTCACTGCTGACATCTCGATGGCGAAACGGAATCTGCTGAACAACCCGTCAAAGCGAGCAATCCTGGAGCGAACCAGCCCCCGTTCCGCCTGTGTCAGCGAGGTGTCGGCAGAGATCGAGCGAATCTTCGAGTACGCTCGAACGCTGCAGGTGAGTGACAGATCGAGCGAATCTTCGAGTTTGCTCGAACGCCGCAGGTGAGCGACAGATCGAGCAAATTTTCGAGTACGCTCGAACGCTGCAGGCGAGCGACAGATCGAGCGAATCTTCGAGTACGCTCGGACGCTGCAGGTGAGTGACTGATCCAGCGAATCTTCGAGTAGGCTCGAGTGCTGCAGGTGAGCGACAGATCGAGCAAATCTTCGAGTAGGCTCGAGTGCTGCAGGTGAGCGACAGATCGAGCGAAGCTTCGAACAAGCTCCGGCTCTACTGGTGAGCACGAGAGATGGAGCGAACCTTCTCGTGCTCTTTGACTCTGCAGACATGCAGTGCAGAAATAGAAAAGGGGGAAGTAGAAAGAGAGATAGAAAAAGGCGAATCAGAACGAGAAACTGGACAGATCTTTCTGTGCAATTAAACTTTGAAGGTAAGCCAGGGATCGAAGGTATTTTAAGTGTTCTCGAATTCTGCAGACAGAGGAACGATCGAACTAATCCTTGAGCTCAACATGTGAGTCATAGAACGAGGGGAACTTTTAGTTTGCTGGAACACGATAGGTCGACGACAAATTGCTGTTCACGCTGACTAAGCCAGCTGCGATTATCCATACCTCAACTTCATTTCTATCATCGCATGTAATACTCTGGCACGTTCCTTGTGTTCATGACATTGTATTCAGCGTTGTCTGCATCACTGCGTTCCCGTTTGAGTGAGCGCCGGAACGCTTTTTTCAGCTGGTGGTCCTGGACTGTGATACTATTAACCACCCGTCTCAGCTGGCCAAGACGTCCCTAGCACCGATACTGTGTCACATAAAAATCTCCTCACCAAAGGTCAGTGTGCCGATGAGTCCCCGAAACCGCTCATAAGTCAAAGGAAGGCGCCGTCCTCCTCTCCTCGGGCAAATAATGTGCAGTTCAGCGCGCCGCGGCGATACATGCATTGTGGCCTAGACGATCTGACATCATTGCCTTTTGTCATGCCTGTGCAAGGCCTCGTGAGCTGTTTCTGTTCATGTGACGGAAGATATCGCCTACGTGAGATGCACGCACCTGTGGTGCCACCTACATGAAGTGCTCACACCTGTGGCATTACCTAAAGGAAATACACGCACCTGTGGCTCGACCGAAAAAGCACCTGTTTGCAAGCAGTAAGCGATAAATACATTATTTTACTAACAACCTTTCAGGCTTGTGGCGTCAGTCTGGTCACGTGCTTCCACCTATAGCACGGAACATGTGTAGGAACAAGATAGTTGGGGGTAGGAGTCACTAATCCTCACTTGTGGAAAACGTTCAGAGCACATGAGATGAGGATCATGAAAGCATTCAGTCTCGAGGCTCCGACCAGGCACACAAACACATGTTTTTAGACGCTCCTACGGCATGATATGTCAGCCATGGAACCATGCGCTATGTCATTTTTAGTCGAGATGCAATTTCAGCTGTAGCAGTTACCTTATGGTAAAAGAGACATTGACCTTACGCTGAATGCTGGGTACATGAGCCAGATGGAAGCTATGCTGTCAGGTCGTTTGCCCTGTTGGCAGCCATCCGTTCATTAAAGCTGTGGTAAATGTTGCCAATTCCAAGCGCAGCCCCGTCCAGTGATTGCATAGACCCGCGTCTTCCCGTTCTCTGCTTCCATACGTTACGTCCACGTCTATCTGTTCGTGTGACTTTACGCCCCTCCCTCCCTCATAGGTGCTCCAGCGGCTGATAAAGTCGCGCGGCAAATCACAATCGAAGAACCTGACGGTGCAGATGGCGGCTGCTGAGAAGCTGGACCAGTGCCCGCCGGAAATGTTCGACATCGTGCTGGATGAGAACCAGCTGGAGGACGCGTGCGGCCACCTGGGCGAGTTCATGGACTCGTACTGGGCGCGCCCTCATCCTCCGGTCAAGTCTCCGCCGGCCAGCATCCAGCGGCCGGTCCCGTCCCCGCACGCCTCGCCGCGGATGGAGCATTCTGGCCTGGCGCGGCCAGGCGTCACGCCACCCGGTGAGCCATGGTGTCGGTCTGACCTGGTCTGACCTGACCCCAGGCCTGGTGCGGCCAGGCGGTCACGCTACCCGGTGAGCCATGTGTCGGTCTGACCTGGTCTGACCCTGACCCCGGCCTGGTAGCTGCAGGCGTCACGCTACCCGGTGAGCCATGGTGTCCGGTCTGACCTGGCCAGCGTCACGGCTACCGTGAGCCATGGTGTTCGGTCTGACCTGGTCTACCTGACCCGCCCTGGTGCGGGCCAGCGTCACGCTACCGGTGAGCCATTGGTGTCGGTCTGACCTGGTCTGACCCGACCCCGGCCTGGTGCGGCCAGGCGTCACGCTACCCGGTGAGCCATGGTGTCGGTCTGACCTGGTCTGACCTGACCCCAGCCTGGTGCGGCCAGGCGTCACGCTACCCGGTGAGCCATGGTGTCGGTCTGACCTGGTCTGACCTGACCCCAGCCTGGTGCGGCCAGGCGTCACGCTACCCGGTGAGCCATGGTGTCGGTCTGACCTGGTCTGACCTGACCTGACCTGACCTGACCTGACCTGACCTGACCTGATCATCCAGCGGCCGGTCCCGTCTCCGCACGCCTCGCCGCGGATGGAGCACTCTGGCCTGGCGCGGTCAGGCGTCACGCCACCCGGTGAGCCATGGTGTCGGTCTGACCTGGTCTGACCTGACCTGACCTGACCTGACCTGACCTGACCTGACCTGATCATCCAGCGGCCGGTCCCGTCTCCGCACGCCTCGCCGCGGATGGAGCACTCTGGCCTGGCGCGGCCAGGCGTCACGCCACCCGGTGAGCCATGACGCCGGTCTGACCTGGTTTAACGTGACCTGACCCCGGCCTGGTGCGGCCAGGCGTTGCGCCACCCGGTGAGCCATGGTGTCGGTCTGACCTGGTTTAACGTGACCTGACCCCGGCCTGGTGCGGCCAGGCGTCACGCCACCCGGTGAGCCATGACGCCGGCCTGACCTGGTTTAACGTGACCTGACCCCGGCCTGGTGCGGCCAGGCGTTGCGCCACCCGGTGAGCCATGGTGTCGGTCTGACCTGGTCTGACCTGACCTGACCTGACCTGATCTGACCTGACCTGATCATCCAGCGGCCGGTCCCGTCTCCGCACGCCTCGCCGCGGATGGAGCACTCTGGCCTGGCGCGGCCAGGCGTCACGCCACCCGGTGAGCCATGGCGCCGGTCTGATCTGGTCTGACCTGGCCTGACTCCGGGCTGGCGCGGCCAGGCGCCACGTCACCCGGTGAGCCATGGTGCCGGTCTGACCTGACCCGACCTCACCTGGCCTGACCTGGTCTTACCTGGCCTTCCGTAACATGAGGAACGCGAAATTCGTAGCTTGCCAACATTTGCCGAAACGCGAGTCGAAACTCGGTCCATGCCGCAGCAACGCAGGTGGCAGCAAAGTGGAATCAAAACATTTCGACTCGGAAACGAAGGGTTATTCGCACGGGCAAAATAACGAATCGATGCGCACTGAGGCGCGCATGCAGCTGTGCTCAAACACTAGTTTCGACAGTTTAGGAGTATTTTTCAGAAGTCATGTCAAATGTTACTGACCCGAGCAGCCAGCGAAGGGAAATCAACTGCACAATGCAGGTGCATGTATCGTCTATAAATCACGCAGCCAGCCGACACCGTCAGATTCATCGCGACGCCGGTACCCAACTGCGGAGCTATCACCTTGGCGTGTTTAAACAGCCGTCATTACATCGCGTTGGCGCCGAAACTGAGCCAGCCGAGGCCGCGAAACTAACACGGCCGCAAACCCACCTCGTGACGACCTACCGCTGTCCTAAATACCTCCGTATGACACATCCCCTTGTCCACAATCGTCCAAAACGTCCGTGAGTGCAAAATTTCCGGTTCTGGTCGGTGCAAAATGCCGCTCTCCGCTGCCACCAATTTGTCGCCGAATGTGCCTTGCCACTAACGCCGTGAGTTTGCACTGTCGGTCCACGGCGGCGGAAGTTCAGGCGTTGCACTGTCGTATGCGGCTGCCGAGACCCGCGGCCAATCAAGATGGAAATGATTTGTCTGAGACAACAGCACGCAATTACAGTGGCGCTGATATCCGATTTTGTGTGCAGCTGGCCACGCGCCGTCAAGTGCGGTGCATGTCGTATTGGCTTGTCGAATGTACCGTGTGTGACACATATCCGGATGTCGGATATTTAGGCACGCGAGGGGACATCTGGCGGCCCGAGGTCCCAGAGACGCGGCACCAAATGAATTCGGCTGAGACATGACGCGGGGGAATTCGATTATGTTGGTACATAATCCGTTCGGTGGGCAACTGCAGATGTGCTGTTGTGCGCTAGGCGCATGCTGGACGTGCCATCGTAGACTTCTCAGAACCTCGAGCAAGAACATTGAAAATGGTATATAACTAAGTCAACCGCAAGCAACATGAGTTCAGATACGCCGCGTGCGCATCACAAGAAGATGCTCTCCAAATGACCAAACCATAAGACGTTCGGGCTATGACATACTTTGGAAGGAAACAATGCATTCGAACAAATTATGCATCGTATAATACTGGTCCCCTAGCCTTGTGTCCTATTTTTCGCAATGTCCTATTTTCACGTCTGCCACGTCCAAATGCCATCGCGGCTAGGTGCCGGTTCCCTATCCATCGGAGAGGAACCGCACCACCCAGAAAGAAATTTGATAGCCGAGGATGTAGTTTGTATACTTTTGAGGGATGTTGAGCACCCCCCCCCCCCCCCCACCATGTTGACTTGAGCCCTCTTAATTATGTTCTGTTTCCCTTCCAATACACATAAGCAAAAAGCAAATATGGGCCGATGACGTACAAGTATCTGAACTGCTAGCACGCTAGGCTCTAAACGCATCTAAATTACAACGCATCCTGAACATATTGTCATCGCCACATGTCATCTTCATCACACCAGTTTCGAAAAAGAAGCCATTCTTCAGTATAAAACCATTTTGGAACTGACCAATTAAAAATGACATCAGAGAGCCGAATCAGAGTGGGCGAAATCCGGGAAGAAATGAGGATTTGCGGGTAGGCTAGGTCAAATTTGTCTCTACTCCTCAGCCGATTTTAGAAGGTAAAACCCCTGGTGATGGCTCTGCGCATGATTATTGTGCGGGGGGGGGGGGGGCACGGCCAGTGCGTCGCGTTCTGTGGAACAGCTTGGTGGAGTGGGCGCGCGCAGCCGGTGTGACCTCAACTGGGGGGGGGGGGGGGGGGGGGCGTGACGACGCGCGGCATAAACGCAGCTTAAACGCGCGCAAGTGTGTCGGCGTGCTGCGCCAGCCGGGCAGTAATAGTCGGCACGCTCTGGTGTCACGTGTACCGGCCCGCGCGCCGCTGCCGACACGTGACGGCGAACGTGACGCCAAGTGATCACGGATGTTTTGTACTGGAGAAACAGCGAAGCTCAGTAGCATTGGTGCAGATTGGTTTGTCCTTCAAACTCCGTCTCGATTAAATGTTGGTATAATTTTCGCTGGTTTGGCCTTATGCCTTGCATCGTGTGCTGACTGTACCGCCATGGCATTTCCGGGTGTCCAAATCATCTATGTAAACAACCGTTCCTATTCAAAATAACCTACATACACTACTCTGCTGTTGCAGTTCACCATGAATCTCAGTACGAGAGCTTCGAGGGAGAGGATCGGGGTAAGTGATGCCGGAAAGCTGCCTCTGGCCGTTCACCTCTATTTTTTTCTTCACAAACGCACGCTGCACCCAATGTTTTGTGAACAGCTTAGAGCGACTCCGAAAATGTTGCGATGCTAGTCACGTTTTCGAGATTTCGTTACTTCCAAGACTTTTGAAGACCTACCGCCTGTTAATTTCAGTTACAAATGCATTTGATTGTAAAATAGACCCGAAGGTTTTTTATAAGAATGTGTCGTCTATGGAGTTTCTTTTGAGCGATTCAATATAATTGCATCTTGAGATATTGAAATATTATGGATTTTAAACGAAGACCTTATGCATTGAATTTAGCTATCGCTTACTGCACTATGTTGTAAGGGAACAGCAATACTCCTCCTGTTAGCATTAACAATATATATATATATATATATATATATATATATATATATATATATATATATATATATATATATATATATATATATATATAGTTGATTCTATAGTTGAAACAAGGGCAGCAGTCAATAGTATCATTTATGCGGTTTTCAACGTTTCGATACATGGCGTACCATCATCAAGACGAGTGCAGTGGTACAAGTTCAATCAAGTTACAGTGACATATTAGAACATTCGTCCAACATCGCTCGACATGACACCGGTCACCGTCACCCAAATCAATGCAACCTGTTTGAGCATAAACAAGACAGATTGAGAACTCTAAAAAAAAATCACGCGACGAAATTTCCTGTCGATTTGGTATGAAAAATGCTACCTTATAATTCGCGAAGGATATACGGACCCCATGATATTCAATGGCGGTTTTTGTTGGTGAGCGTGAAGTGATTCTTAACTCTTGAGATCGAGAGCATTGCTATAGCGTCCTAATGCGAAAAAATGTTCAATGTTAAAGTGAGTATCCCACGCGAATGAGTGGTCTCGGATGGGCGAAGGGTCTGAGCCAGCCAGAATGCTACCTGTACCGTCAAACTTTCCCAAATGTTGCTGCACTCTGCAATCTAAATTACGAATGGTTGAGCCCACGTAGGATGCTCCACACAAAGAAAATAATATGTATGAATGGTTGCAGAGACAGAACATTTGAGAAGCCCGTCGTTTGATTTAAGGAAAGATCCAAGATTAAAACAGAGTGAAAAACAGTATAAAGAGATAACTATTATGATTATAGGGGACAGAAAAGTGTAAGAAACTTGTAGTAGGTTTGCAGGCTCATTTTTCATCTGTATCGAGTGCCTTCCAAATATGGTAGTACCAAATATTTATTGAGCGTTAGGACTTAATGAACGGTTGGCGCTAAACATATTTTGCACCCAAGGAGTTCATTTATTTTCAACCAAAGTGCTATTTTATTTATTCAAACATAAAATTACCGAAGGAGGAAGAGCATGAAATCGGCTATTTGCATTTCCTTAATGTGTGAGTTCGAAAGTCACGAGACAAATCTGATACCTCTGTCTGTAGAAAGTCCATGTCCTTTGGTCTTGGACTGAGCTTTTCTCATTCATTTCCGACGCTCTTAAGCTATGTGGTGTGCAAACAGCTATTTGCCGAAATTTTCGTTTAAGGTTCAGCTAAAAATTCCTGGGTCCGAGCTTGATAGCCTCAGATCATTCTGCCAGGAAAACGGCTTCCCACTTGCAATCATTAATTGTTTAATAAGGAGCTTCTTGGGTGCAAAATATGTTCAAGCCACATCTGGTCAGAAGGTCTAAGGCTATATATATATATATATATATATATATATATATATATATATATATAATAAATATCTAGCGTTACCCAGGATGCTACCGTACAGGCAACATCCTGACAAACCCAGGCCCTTTGCCCGTCCCGGACCATCCAGCTGCATGTGACTCGCACTTTAGCATCGAAAGCTTTTCCATATTCGGACGTTGCAGCAATTCTCTCCATCTTGGGATTTTGCAATCGCTGCATATTTATAAAAAAGCTGTCATTGGACATCATGGGGTCTACATGTTCTTTGCAAATTATAAGATGACGTTTTTCATGCGAAGTGAAAAGTATATTTCATCGCGTGATTTGTTTGTATCTTTTAATCTGTCTCGCCTATACGCAGAGGGGACGTGTTGATTTGTATAGCTGTGACCGATGCCATGTGGAGAGATGTCGGTTGAATGTTTTAATATTTCATCCAAACGTGATTGAGCTTGTACCGTTGTGCTCGTCCTGATGATGATGCACAAGGTATCGAAACGTTGAAAACTACATGTATGATGTTGGCTGCTGTCGTTGCCATGGACTTTTTATTACTTCTTATTGTCCGGGGATGTATATATATATATATATATATATATATATATATATATACATGTATATATATATATATACACATATATATGCATGTCACCATTTCGTTTCTAATATATATTTATATTTATGTTTATATATATATGTATATATATATATATATATATATATATATGTACATGCATAAAGATATGTACTGACAGAACACGACGTTGCCATTTGTAACATTGTTCAGCAGCCCAGCCGTAATTTTCATGAGCAGGGCAGCCAAGCATCCAAAGCCATGAGGCATGTTGGCGCTGGCAATGACTAAACAATGAAATAGGGGACTTTCAAAAATGCCTCCTGATGGCCGACGGAACTGGCCGGTGCTGCCAGCGACCCTGCTGTGTTTGTTGCAGACGTCTACCGGGGCCACCAGGCGCCGCACGAGCGGCGCGAGGAAGACGAGTACGAGGGGGAGGTGACGTACCGGTCCGACCGGAGAGCCCGGCCGGCCCAGCACGGCCACGCCCACCGCCCGGAGCCGTACAGCCCGTCACCACCGCCACAGACCGCCTCGCGACACGCGCTCAACGTGTAGTGGTGTGGCGCCACCGGCCTGTCCCGAGAGGCGAGCGTCGGCGCGGAGACGTACAGTGCGCGGCCGCCAGAGGCGCTCGTGGTCTCCAGCTCGTGGCGCGCCGGCCCCGAACTGATCGTGAGGTAAATGCCATGCATGCCGGGTCGCTCGCCCTTCTACCAGCGATTTGGACGCTTTATCCACTGACGGGTTCTATTCTTGACCAAATATCTTGTTATTGAATTATGCACAAATGGTCTGTCCCGTGTACATAGAAGCCAGACGTCAGATCGGTTCGTTCGTGTTCAACCGCTTTTGCATCTGCCGTACTTTTTCAAATTGATTAGGCTGTCCTCGACCGTCTTGCATTGTTCTTGTGCATCGTGTGATATTTCTGGGGCTGCTTTATGTGTCACAGAGTCAGGCGTATATTTGGTCGAACGGTGGAATTGTTATACAATCCATGAGGTCCCCCTTTAATGCCATATAATAATACCCTTGCAGCACAGCTTTCTACTCTCCAAGACAGAACTTCTGTGACATCATGTACCATTGACCGTTACTTTTACGGTCTGCCTGGCACATGTCTTGCATATATTTTGACTGGTTTGCTGTGCCTTGCATATTGGCAAGCCATAGAAGTGAACATTTGCTCGGCCTACGCTTAGGGATATTCGACGCGTGACATATGCGCACATTCACTTACGCATATTGTCACGCAAGTTCGCGTCGACACATCACCGATGTCACGTCCTGTGTTTCTGGACATTCTTTGTCTTTTGCTGAAAACCAGCTGATCTCAACAAAATCACGTATGGAAATGTCGACATCGGTTAATCAACAGCGATTGTAACGGAAGTAACGGCAAATTTTTTGGAAAAATCTCCCTCTTTCACGCACATTTCCATAGTTTTTATCTCCAAAATGCCTAGAGAGGTGCATCCTATCAACGTGCGCGCAACTTGATCGGTAAGCCTTACTCTTGAAGATATGTGTGAAAGATCAAAAGAACGACAGAGCACAATGCCTTGGCGTTGGCCGGTTGTAAGACGTCCGCCTCTGTACCTTTGCGTGCAACAAAAAAGCCGAGTTTTCATGGACTCTGTGTCTTTGACTCCTAAATTTACATTTGGCTCGCAGTTTTTTTGCTATATATATATATATATATATATATATATATATATATATATATATATATATATATATATGCACATAAAGTATATCAGTGCATTCCTTACAGACTGAAAACTTATAGCCATATGATATGACTGCCGACATATTACCACCCCAGCTGGGCACCACTGCAAGTATGGGCGATAGCCCTTCTCCTCCGTGTTGGTCGCAAAATGCGTCTGTCATAAAAACTCAAACTACTTGGCAGCGCCAGTTTGCAGTCAGCTCGGAGAATCCCCATGGGTTCTTATGCGTGATGTGGTAGTTGCAGGCCCCGAATCGATTGAAGAGTATAAGCTCGGATACTTAGCGTTTCATGATTTAAGACACAGATTGTGCGGCGTTTGTCACATATGTTCACATTTTATCCGGATGATCTTGGAGGAATTTGATACTAGACTTAAGTGGTGTGGATCTAGCCCAAACATCGACATCGTGTTGGCTAATTACGTTTTCATCACAAATTAAACGACGTTATAGTTATCCCAATAGTTCGATTTCCCAACATTTGAGTAGCCAGAAACGTCTGCTCTCATGTTCTGTTTTTCTCTGTGTTTCTTCACTTCCATTTGCATCTTTTATCGCTATAAAACGTTTTCCGTTTTTTTATTTGAGGCCCTAAGTTTGCGTGCCGAAATGGGTCTGTGTAAAGCACTAATCGACGATTTACACGACAACCGGGGGTTTCCCAGGCCTCGACGGATGCTATTTTGATGTCCATTATTGACTGTTCTTCTCTCTAACTTCAGCTGATACTTGAAGGTTTGAACCTGTATGTACTGCTCCCTGTAAGTGGTCCTTAGACTTATTTGAATTACGTCTAAAGGCTCTTTTTCTCTCTCTCCAAGTGGGCGCATGGCCTGATGGGCCGATAGCTTCTGATTCAAATACTGAAGTTTAGGGACGCCGTGTCCCATTGGATGCCTCGTCGACATGCCTGAATCCCCAGATTTTCGTTGATTCCGTGCCATGCAAGCGTATGAACATCCGGTTGGGGTGCGTTCACCGAGAACGCCTGCGTAACGCGTTCAGAACCGTACCCAAAGCTAAGTAACACAACGTGCGATGTCCCGTGCTACCCGACCAGGGGCACGTATGGAACCCTGAAAACGCGATTGCGGCGACAAGCCCAACGGCTGCCGGACGCGAGCACAGCGGCTGCCGGACGCGAGCACAGCGGCTGCTGAACGCGAGCACAGCGGCTGCTGAACGTGCGCCGCATCCCATGTCCACTTGGTTTCAAGATAATCAAAACCGGCACGAGCCCGTGTCCACGCTCCTGTTCTCTCCGCGCACGTGGACGTGTCGAGTGTGTGCATGCCGGCGCTGATTGTGATGTTCATGTACTCTGGGAGTGGCGACCCCTCCCCTCCCACTCAGACCGCAACTCGTCTCATCTCCATAACGTCCATGACGCGGCCAGCGCAGCCCGGGGTATCAGTTACGATGCACCTCCACGCTGGTCTCTGTTCGCCGTCTTGAGATCGCACCTCACCGGTCTCCTGTCTCTCGTTCAGTTGGTTGGGCTGTTTGTAAATACAACTTTTTATCAGAGGGTCGTCAGTGTTGGTCGAGGATCGGGCGAAAGCTGGGCTTCGCAGGAACAAGCAGTATTTCCCCGAATGACATCACATCCGGTGCAGAGCACACGATAAGACCTGAAGCCCAGTCTCTCAGCCAATGAGCCGCGTCTGCCCGCAGCCGCACGTGGGACGGCGGCGCTCAGCCGTACACTCCTCGGTACACCACCAGTCGCAAACAAATGAAACGCAAATGATCGCAAACTGCGGCCACCAGTCGCAAAAACTAAAACTGCTTTGTTAGGACCAGCTTGATATTGCGCCATTACACATATCGGACGGTCTAGATGCCAAGGTACGGGCCGGGAAGTCACCAGACAGAGGTTCTTATAGTAGCTAATTGGATAAGCGATAGCAGGGAAGTTGTTTTCTGGTCAAAGCAGTGTAGAGTTCTATTCGTACATGGGGTACCGTGACAAAAAGAAAAAAAAGAGAAAATAAAATAAGAGGAGACGTGCATGAGTAGAGCACATGAGGGGCCACAGGGGGCGAGCCGAGCACAAAGGCATTTGTGAGACCTGATCATAAATGAAAAATGTAGAGAAGAATAAGAGACCATTGTTCCAGAGACAGAACGCACGTAGAACTTACAAGGAAGCATGGAAGACCGCGGAGAAGGGGGAGAGAGAAGAGAAAATATGGGGCGAGTGGCACGAAAATGATTTCAAAGTTTGGGAAAAAGTGACAAATGGCTTGAAAAACCATCTCCCACTTTTCCTCCTGTATTCAGGACAATTTGTTTCCAAATTTAGTAAAAAGAGTGATGCGCGTTTATTTAGATATTTATGATTGACAAACGCCACGGTGATCATCCAAAAAATCATCCTGTTAAATATCGACAAAGTGTTGAACGTAACGTATTGACGAGCAAACATGGATACGCAAAATATAAGCAGGCAAAACGTCGACTTCGCCGACTCCCACGTCCAAAATGTCGACATGGTATAATAACAATAACGCAGAATATGAAAACTTTGAATGAAAATATCGACACGTTGAATATGGACAGGAACAAGATTACAAGCAACTAGACACAGAGATTTCCGTCCACGGTAGAAAGGAAGGCGTCTTTGGGCTTAAACAGACCATATGTGATGCAAACAAATTTGCAGATAGGGCTCAGATCAGCACATGTGTGCCTTTTCTGCGGTATATACTCACTTTTCTCAGTGGCAATATAATGAAACCTCAAAATACCTAGTTTTATCAAGAATATTTACCTTTGTCCCGAATTGGCATGTCACCCACCGATATCAGAAACTTAAGCTCATCATCAGCGTGTCCGCCTGGTGCACGCAAATATGCTTTGTTTTTACTTTCCCCTTGTCGGTTTGTGATGAAATGATTTGGAGGAGGTAGGGGAGTCAAAGTGCATTGGTGACCATCCCACCTCTAAATAGAAAAACGGTAAAACGCTTTCGTCAGGCAAAGGTTAAAACGTCAATCAATGCTCAAGGTAGCCAAGATTGTCACTTTCACCGCTCAAGCAAAATCATTGTTGTTGCTTTGGCACGGCGTTCTCAGGGACCTGGCGCTGTGCCCTGAGAGCCCCGGCATGACATTCGCAGAGACCTGGAATTCTGCCCCGAGCCCTGACGCGTGATTGATCGTGGTTAAGTGCCGCTATATGTAATAAATAATGACAATTATTGGCACCTTAAGCCTCACCGACAGCTTGGGTCATTTCGAGACGAACGCCTTTCTTAGTGTCGCATGGGATGCAGTGATGGCGTGGCAGGGGCCCCGACCCAAGACTGACAGGTCCAGAGTCCAGCGCCCTAACTACTATACGCAACGGTCTGCCGGCTCCAAGGAAACTGATGAACTGCTGGACAACTGTTGGAAAACTTTGGCTAGTTCCCTTTTTTCAACACAAAATCGGTTTACCTTGGTTGTGGAACCTCGATCTGTCATAATTCAGAAAATGACAAAAATTTCGACCAAAGATATCGTGAAACGTACAATGTATGTGATCTACACCTTGAAAATAGCAGTCTTCGACGAACGGACCCACGACGGGCATACTTGGTACCAGCCACCGCGTCTGATGCCCCCCCCCCCCCGCCCCCAGCTCGTGCGGGCGGTGTGGCGGCGCGTAGCGGGCCTGATCCGGCCAGTGGTGCGGCCGGCTGGCGCGGAGCAGGTGCAGGCTTGGAGAGCGCGCGGCCGGTCAGCTCCAGACACGGCACGGACGACAGGCGGCGCTCACCAGACAGAAGAAGCGTGTTCCCGGGACCGGACGGTCAGCGTGCTGGCGCACAGCAGCTCAGTCAACCGCTGCTCAAACGGCAGCAAGGGTCTGGTCAGTTTCGGAGCGGATTTCTAGCAGCGTTGCCAGAAGCCGTCAAAGTCGCAGAGATAAACTCCGTCGGGTGTCCTTGGGGAGCTTCAGTCCGACGTCACGGACATCATCGCTGAGAAAGCTCACTGGACGCATTGACGAACTTCGCTGGTAACACCACTGAAGAACCCCAGTAGGAACATCACTGCCGGACGTCACCGGTGACACCGCTGCCGGGCATCACTACACATTCCTGCAGCCGCGCAAGAGGAAGTCATCCCGCCCGAAGCCACGCCGAGCAGCAGGATCAGGGTTTTTTAGTCTGAAGTTACCCAGAAGTGTTCCGGCATCAGCTTGCATGGCATGTCGCGACGACATGAACCTGCATTCCAGACCCCGCGTCACCAGAAAGGTTGGTTAGAATTACAAATGTCGTGCAGTTCCCGCTAAAACAACCTTTCGTGCCATTCAGTGATAATTTGTGTGCAGTAGAGTCTTTGACTACTTCACTACGTACGTAAAAATTCTGAGGCCTTTATTGCAGCATCGCGCTCTTTCATTTTTTTCTCAAATATGTCCTCTTTATGCAAACGATGCATCACTTTTTTCTGAAGATTGCCCAAAACGTATCACGCAACACCTGCAGTCCGTTGAGGGAAAGTAGCTTCAGATGCTGGTCTAAAGGGGAAAGGTGGGGGAGTGAGAGTGGGAGAAGTTTGAGGGGCAGTGAATTCAAAATACGAGCGGGGAATGCGTGCACGCACGGACAGCTAGAGAAAGTAGGTCAAGGTCATCGTGCGTCCGAAGAATCATCTTATTCCATACGCATCTATTGCTCTACATGTACTCTGATCCTGCCGGTCGGCTTGACCCTATTTGGGCAGCGGGCTAAAGCACCAGCCTGTACAGCCCCGTGCAGACATCATTCGCATGCACAGGGTCACAAAGGCTGCAGCCGTGTACTGATATTCAGTAATGCGAACGGCTGCCGGCTGCTGGCCATACCGGGAGCCGCCTCGGAGCGCGGCGGCGGGCGGCGGGCCGGTCGTCATGCCCGCTCACGGTCGGCTGCTGAGAGGGTCGCCGTCACCGTCAGTCGCCGCCCGTCCTCCTGGCGGGCCCCGCGCGCCTCCAGCACCAGCGTGCGAGCGGCTGGCGGTCACAGCGAGTGGCTTCCGCCAGCTGATAGCCTTGTGTTTCCTCGACAGTCAGGCTCGACGGGGGCCGTGTTTACCTGGTAGCTTTGCCCACCTGGTGACCACCATTACTGGGCGGTTTAACCACCTGGTTAAAGCTCATCCGGTACTGGTCACCTTGTAACCGTAATTTCCTGGTAACTTTATCACTTGGGAGCCGTGTTCATATGGTGACTGCTCACCTGGTGACCGGGCCCACCTGGTGACACTGTTGATCTGCTGGCTTTATCACTTGGTGACGGTTTATCTGGTGATTCGTTACCAGGTGACAGTGTTCAATTGGTCACTGTCCACCTGGTGACAGTGTTTAACAACTGACTGTTCACCTGGTCGCTTTATCACCGGTGACGATGTTCACTTGGTAACTCCTCATCTTGTGTTCATGTTCGCATGATGGCGCTGCCCATTTGCTGGATGTCGAATATATCCACCTTTCGCTAAAGGCGTCGGCATCAGCCATTCAGTAGGAACCGGTGCGGCTCTGATCCGGCTGGCCACCCAGCAGGACTCCGTACCCATCTGATCCAGCTGTTCATCCGGCAGGACTCCGTGTCCCTCCGATCCAGCTGTTCACCCAGCAGGACCCCGTGTCCCTCCGATCCAGCTGGTCACCCGGCAGGACCCCGTACCCCTCTGATCCAGCGGGTCACCCGGCAGAACCCTGCACCCCTCTGATCCAGCTGGTCATCCAGCAGGACCATGTACCCCTCCGATCCAGCTGGTCACCCGGCAGGTCCCCGTGTCCCTCCACGTCATGGACCCGCTCCACATTCTACGAAGTGTGCTGGTCGGGCCGCTGCCAGCGGTTCTTGTTTGCGAGCCGAGCCGAGCGGAGCCGAGCCAGGCCGGGCGCTGTGTGGTCGGCGGCGCCCGGACAAATAAGGAGGTGCACCGTCATCCTCCGACACAGCGACGTATTTGGCGCGGCCGGGGCAAATGCGCCCGCCGAGGAAGACTGATGACCGGTGTCGCCACACCGAGCATTCAGTCCTCTGACCGGCGGATTGAGATAGGAATCCATTCCGTGGGGTCGCGTGCGCGTCACGACAATTAGGCCAATGAGACCGATGACCTGTTCATGTAAGGCTCACGTTTTTGATATGCTCCTTGTCGGGCGAGCAAGTGTTCCAACCGAGGACGGTGAATAAGGGAGAGGGGTGGCTGCCCTGCCCTCCTCCCACCCCCCCCCCCCCCCCAACTCCGAGCAGCATTTAACTGTAACCCTATGCCAGTGCATGAAAAAAACTAAATAAAAATCACTTGCCCCTCATCTTCACAGATGTTCCGTCACTGCTGGCCCTAGGTTTTTTACGCAATGGTTGTGTAGATTTTGTGAGATCGTTGCGGATTGCTCATATGTGCATCGGGTGGATGAGGCTCAGTCCATCCCGTAGCATTCGGATGGACCAGGGAACAACGGATTGGCCAGCCAACATAAATATGGATGAACAAATATTGGTTGTGCTTGAACGCTGTTGCGTCTTGAATGAGATGAGTT